ACGCCGAAGGCCCTAAAGGCCACGGGCAACAATTTCAAGCGAGAAACTGAGCGAGAGAAAGGGAGAGAGTGGGAGAAGGAGAAGGTGAAAGAGAGGGAAAGAGAGAAAGAAAGAGAACAAGATAAGAAAGAGAGAGGGAAAGAAATCAAGACCGAGGCTGTGGTAATGCCCAGCCTGGAATCGAAGATCAATAGTTTCCTGCAGGGGAATCCTGGTTTCAGTGCTCTCGGACTTGGCTTAGACGACGTAGGCAGCAATAGCCCTCTCCTTGTTGGTGGAGACAATCTGGATGGCACCCCTGTCCGAGATGAGAGTGGTAGCACACCCACCCAAGATGAAATTATGGACTCACCCCATGTACTCAGTGAGCCTCAGAGTGCAGGTCTGTCTGGAGGTCGTAACCTTTCACCTACAGCCTATCTCAGTGACCCCTGGGATGCTGTGATCACTCCACGAGAGGCTCTGGGAGAAAAAAAGCGGAAAGACAGGGATTACCGCACACCACCACCCTCACGACTTGCCGCCTTTAGCCTAAGTGTGACTAAACCAGTCAAGGCCATGACTAAAACCAAAGAGGAAGAAGGGCTGAAGAGAAAAGTACCAGGTTTGAACATTCCATCAGCTGCCATGGTGCAGGATCAGAAGATAAAGGCAAAGATGGATGGTGAGGGAGAGAAAAGTGCATCCTCCTGTAGGCCAAGTGGAGGATCTGGCGACGGGACGAAAGACAAGGAAAGGAAAGCTTCAGCTGACAATGGAGACCACTACCATCGCATTGAGACTGTTGTTTCTTCATCCTCCAGTGAAGGAGCACCAATCGAAACCCTTGATTATGGTAACCGCATCCAGACAGTGGAAAGCATCCGCGTGGTTGGAAGAGTACTGAGAAGAGGAAGCAGTGCTGGTTCTAGAGTGGGTGGGGCCTGGTATGAAGAGGAGGAGTTTATGGAAGCCCCGCCTCCACACCACCCTGGTAGTCGTGGCCATGAGAATTCTGAGGAGTTGGGAATGGCCCCTCCTCTTCCTGTTCTTCCTCCTCCTCTTCCTGCTCACCTTCCACCCCCTTTGCAGTATCCACCTCCACCCTATGCAAACGAAGACCCCACACGACCTTCTCATGGCATTCCTCAACACCATCCTCCCCCTCCATTTTTTCCCTCTTCCATTCCTCCAGTCCCACTACCCCTTGCTCCCATCCCTCAAACCCTACCTCCTTCCAGAGACTTCCCCCTTTCCTCAAACTCCACTGTTATGGTTGGTGGTGTCCTTGTACCAATAGACCGAGTCCTACCCTACCCACCTGCCAACCTCCATCCTGATGGAGCGGGGCATGGAGGTAGCGGTGGCAGTGCCCCTCCTAGAGGCGGCAAACCCCAACTCCCTTCCTTGTTAGGAGATCCCCCTCGCCCAGGCACGGTGAAAGAGCAGTTCGTCTTGCGCCACACCCCACCTCTTCACCGTCCTGGCACCCCGGGAGTTCCTCCACCCCTCCTGGGCAGAATTCGAGAGGGACCCAGTCCCACACCACCATCACCCTCTACCCCAACCACACCTACTCCTCCATCCCCAGCTGGGGAACCCCATCCTCATTTGTCTATTCCCAACCGCCTACCCATCAACACCCTGAATCAGAGACCCCGCCGCCCTTCTTCCCCTCTGCCCCTCCTCCAATTACCAAACCAGCATCACGCGCGTCGTTCCCCACAGTTTCCCAGAGGTTCCCTGCCCCTACCGCCCCCCTCCCGTAACCGTGAACCCCTCCTACCTGGGACAAAGCGTCCCACTGGTAGTTTCGGCGGTGGGCCTTTCAACCCACCCAAAAGACCGTTCTTGCCCCCTCGATATTAGCATCTTAGAATGAGTGCTAAATGCTCTGCACAACCTGAAATAGGCAGTGTAGCAAGCTAGCATCACCTGCGAATCGCAGCGTGAGACGTATACTGCATGTAAATACACATGCACTGACACGCCCTGCCCCAGAGCAGCCATGTTACAGCACTACTCTTCTCAGTGAAAGAGAAGTTTTCAGATACTCTAAAGATGAACTAGGAGGAGGAGAATGTGGAGATCCAGAAACATCCATGGAATATGAAGGAAGGCAAAAGGTGGTTATCCTGTTCAATTGGTGTAATGTGAGAGAGCGGTTATGGAGTGTATGAGTGTGTGTGATATATGGATGACTTGTAAGTGGATACACAGATTATTTCTTTCCTTCCAGTAACTGTTCCTTCACTTCTCCACCCTATAACACTTGCTTTTCTAATTCTTCCCATGTAAATACTTGTTTCTGCTGTTGACAGGTTACAGATTACTGTTTTCTGTCTGTGAAACCTCTGTTACTCTTTCACTTTGAGCTGAAAACCAGTGGATTTCAACTGTGTTTTATTCCTGAGTGATTACATTATTGACAAAGATGTAATGCTAGGCAACCATGATGGCTTGTAGTGATCCTTAAGCTTCATAAAGCAAAAATACAGCCACTTTATAAACCTTCACCAAGATGTGAAGATTTTGGCTCACATTGCATATAAGCTAACCAAGTGTTCAAGGCATAACTACTCGGTAGTTTCTGAGTGCTTTTCAAGAGCTCTTTGCGTGTTTTTTTTTTTTTTTGCTTCATAGTTCCTACATGTATTCTGATTAATAAAAGCATTGTGTCTAGAAATATTATTGAAAGGAAGGAGACTGTTCTTTTCAAGAACAAATGTACCTGGATTGTTTTCTGTCATTTTGTTTTTACTTAAAAGCAGTTCTGTTCAGTCTTATAACTTGATGTCCAACCTTTTCAGGAATGTGCAGAGCTTGAAAACATGACTCTGAATTTTAGGTTCAAATGAAAGTTGAGGAAAGAATTAGTTTCCTCATAAGGTTTAATTATTCTAAATTTCCCATTGAATATGAAATGTTAATCTAAGTCGGTTCTTTGTCTCTAGGATTTAAGATTATGACAGTTTAACCCTTTATCATGTACACACGACTGAAATGTGTGTTTCTGTCTTTGTGTTCTACACAAGCCACACTTTCATGCATTGCATTTTCAGAATGCATTGTTCCTAAAACTAAATCAAATACTACATCCTTTCACAACAATGTTGATACACTGCTTTTCAAAAAAAATGTTTGACAACTTAAATGTGAATACAACCTGTACATCATTGTAGTTTGCATGCATTGTGTAAGAACAAAATAGTTGAAATCTTTCCTTCAAGTGCAGAAATGTTGAATATTTGAAGAGCGTGGTTTGGTGTCTTCATTTGGACAACATGTGCATTCATTGTAGAGTGCTTTACACAAGGAGTATTTCAAAGAACCTACACACTTATTTAACAGTATTTGCAGTGCCAGCTTTGTTGCACATCAGCATGTTATGCACAAGCAATGAAATTCAAATTTGCAGTAAAATCTGGTTTCATTCAGTCATATACAGGTACAGATAGCTGTCTGGATAGACTGGCTAATCAAACTAATGTACAGCACTATTCTCAGAAAACAAAACCTTGAAGTGCCTAATTGTTCTGCAACAACCTTCAAACAGGCACAACGGGACCATTTGCAAATACAGAGTTTGTTTTCTATTGGTAAATGCAGGCTTGAGTTTTGTGGCCCTACAGTAATGATATTGATGACTGATGGTAAGCTCTGTATTAAGAAACTGAACAAACAGCAAATTTAAACAACTGTGTTTACATCTCCAAGTTCTGTTTTTTTTCTTTTGCATTTATATTCCTGACACTTATCCTTCCAGAGGTTAGGGACAACATAGAGTAGACTAGTAATTTCTCCACACCAACGACATAGTGTTGTTGTAGTGTATTCCTATTCACTAAACGGGAATTCTGCACACATATCCAGCTAAGCATCATCAGATATCATGTCAATTGGAGGAGATCCTCATTTTTCACATTGGCATCCTTAATGATCACTGAAATTGTATGTGCTTCCAAACATTGTCACAGTATTGTATAGTTTATTTAATGTCACTGATGATGATCAGTGATTACTTGATTGTGTTGTTCATATCTGGAAAAAAAAAATTGTGCACTTGTTGAATTTGGCTTAGTTTTGTAAATTTAGCAATCCTACGGCAGGGAAGGGTCACTCATTTTCCCCAATGTTAGGCTTTTCAATGACCAGTAGATCATAAAAATATAAAACACTCGCTGTACGCTCTCAGAAAGGGAAAAAAAAGGTACACAATTGTACTTAAAGGTACATATTAATACCTAAAAGTAACAAAAATGTACCTTTAAAAAACAGCTTTTTTTTTTTTTTTTTTGAGAGTGTACTTTCAAGTTTACACTGTTTGCACAGAACTAAAGACGGCTAATGATGAAGGACTGTGGTTTAATACATTGCAAACAGATACCAACATCAGATTTACACATTTGGTTTGTGTCTGAAACACACTTATGTGCTTTAACTGTTTAATACAGCGAGTCAGATTACTGAGCTTCAAATGTTACATTTGCAGTAATCTGCATAGTAAACATTTTTTTAACAAGTCTGTGATTGTTTATCTAATAGTGAATGCTCATATCAATACTGTGGAACAATGTCCTTCAGGAGACAGCACCCACTAGTGCACTAGTTATCAATTGGACACATATAAAAGTGTGTTTTGCATTTCGTCTCTAGGATCCTGTAGAAGTAACGGTGGTGTAGTGAGTGCACGTGCGAAGACGCATCAGCTCAGGCAACTGGAGACAAGTGATGGAGCAGGGGAGTTTAGCTTGAGCTTGTTTCTCTAAATATATTATTTTGCTTTGGTTCGACATAGATATAGTGTTGCGTTCATAAACCTGCACCGTTGTCTGTTTTTCCAGTTCTCCGTGAAGTCCGTGTATTTGGATGTGGCGTGTGTTCGCATGCAGGAGAGTGCTGTCAGTTAATGTGTTTTCTTACGCACTGAGCGGACGCTCGTGACGCACGTCTTGCTTCGCTTCTCATTGGTTGTTGCGCACACAGAGCCCGCCCTCCTTCGAATTTTTCGGCGAATCGGGTTTCTTGCTCTGTGACGGTGTAGTAGTTCCGGGAAAATGGCGGCCCGCTGAGAGGGCAACATTTGGTGTTTGGAGGAGAAACGATGAGCCGTAGCTTTGCGTGAAATGTTCGTGGCTGTGTTGTGGAGGCGGCGCGTCTGTCAGGCGGCGGTCTGCGGCAGCAGAAGCTACGGGAAGGTGTGCAGGACTGATGGAGATGATTCAGTGGTGCTCTAACACACTGACAGCTCAGTGTGACTGACTCGTTTTAGGCTATCTTTGAGAATGGGGTTAACATAGCTTGTGTATAAAGCGATAATGCAAGTTCTGGATGCATTTTGAACTATAACTTTTGTGTGTATGCATGCATTTTTTTTATTGTGCATTGTTTTGGTTTTATTTATGTAAATGTATTTTTTATTTATTGTACATTTGTTCATATCTACAGATATGAGAAGCTCTCTGTGAAGATTAGTGTAATGTAAATTGTACAAGTACAGTGGGGATTAATGTCAGACCACATTAAAATGTATTCATTTTAATCTCAGGCAGAAAACACATCTAATTCAAAGCAATTTTGTAAGAAATGTGACTGCTCTTCTGAATCATCTCGGAGCATGCTGGAGAACATGATCATCAGGTTTAGTTCAGTGCTGCTCTTGTTAAAGCAAAGGAGACACCGAAAATTCAAATTAATTTTTAGTTCAATTCTTAACTCAAATTCTAATTCTGGTTAGTAATTCGTAATGTAATTAATGCAGCATATTTTCAGTAGTGGTCTCAGATTTGTGGGCCTCACTGTATGTTGTTATAAAAGATTCGGTATGTGGTCAGTCTGATCTATTTATGCCATTGATACCAATCAATTTAGTTCTCTGATCTTGAGGTATTACTTTTTTCTTTTATTTTTTTTCCAAAGACCGGTTTAAAAAGTCATAAGGCTCATATAACCCCACTACTTAAGAACCCCACCCTTAACCCATCTCTTTTAGAGAACTACAGACCAAAATTCAAGGCATTAGTGTTTGCCTACAAAACCACCACTGGCTCTGCACCCATTTACCTAAATTCATTACTTCAGACTTTTGTGCCCTCTAGAAACTTGCGTTCTGTGAGTGAACGTCGCTTTATTGTTCATCCCAAAGAAGCACAAAATCACTTTCACAGACTTTTACATTAACTGTTCCCTGCTGGTGGAATGACCTGCCCAACTCAGTCCGAGCAGCTGAGTCCTTAGCCATCTTCAAGAAACGACTAAAAACACATCTCTTACATCTTTATTTGACCCTCTAAGTCTAGCACTCTCTATTCTAATTCTATTCTTTATTAAAAACAAAAACACTTGTCCCTTTTAGACTTGCACTCTATGCATTTTCTGCTTGTATTCTATCTGTTTTCCTTTCATTTATTATATTATTTAAAAACCCTTGCTACGTGTACTGTGTTAAGCTAACTGAGACTTGTTATAGCACTTGCATATCATTGCTCTTTTGTTGATTTTGATTGCTTCCAGTGTCCTCATTTGTAAGTCGCTTTGGATAAAAGCGTCTGCTAAATGTAAATGTAAAGTGTGCGTGTGATTAAATACCTCAGTTTAGTACAGTTGTAAAGTTTGTCTGTGAGACTACAGAATTCCAGTGGTTTATCTTCAGCCCTCCCTCATATTTACCTCTGAGGTAGTGCTTGCACAGTGACTGGTTACATGCTCTCTCTCTGTTCCAGCTGCATCCGTCTGCCTGTCAGACCCAGCGCTTGCGGATCTTCCAGTCTCTCTGTGATCGGCTTGCGACTGGAGCTGCTGAGGAGCACAAAGCATCGAGAGCGGATCTGACCATCCGATTGGCTGACGGCAGGACGGTCAAAGGGTCAGCTGGCGTGACCTCGCCGTTACAGATCGCCAAGAGTGAACGGTAAATATAAGCCTCAGACTCACGCCTCCTGACTTGCTGTGAACCGTACTTTAGAGCAGTGATTGTCAACCTTTTTGACTCGAAGGTCTCGCATTGTCCAACACAATTTTCAAAGCCCATATATATATATATATATATATATATAAGTAAATCCTACACCAATATTTTATTTTCTATTTTTATTTTCATTTTTTTATTTTAAGTGCTGCTTTGGACTGTTGTTACTAATTAGTTCTGCCATAATGTGAGTATCTTCTTGTTTGTTTGTTTGTTTGTATCCTGTTTTCACTCAGCTTTCACTCATTGCTAGTATATTTCACAGATAATTGAGTAAATCCTGCACCAATATTTTTATTTATTTATTATATTTATTTATTTTTTGCTGTGTTCACTCAGAAATTGCTAATAAATGTCACAGATAATTAAGTCCTACACCAGTATTTATTTATTTATTTATTTTTGCTGTTTTCACTCAGAAATTGCTCAATTTCACAGTTAATTAAATCTTACGCCAATATTTTTTAATTAATTAATTTAAGGTTTTTTTTTTTTTTTTTTGCTGTTTTCACTCAGAAATTGCTAGTAAGTTTCACAGATAATTAAGTCCTACACCAATATTTTTTTTTTGTTTATTTATTTATTTATTTTTGCTGTTTTCATCAGAAATTGCTAGCAAATTTCACAGATAATTAAGTAAATCCTACACCAATATATATATTTTTTTTATTTAAAAAAAATTATTTTAAGTCCACTTTAGACTGTTGTTACTAATTGTTAGTTCTGCCATAATGTGTGTATCTGTGTGTGTTTGCAGTGTTAAAGGTGCAGTGGCGAGCAGAGTGAATGGAGCTCTGTGGGACCTAAGTCGCCCTCTTGTGGAGGACTGTGAACTGCAGCTGCTGGGTTTTGACTCGCTGGAGGGGAGACAGGTGCCAGCTTTTGAGTCTCAAAGAGTTAACTCTCAATAACATGTCTGAGTAATATTTCACCCTAAAAACATAAATATCAAATAATAATATTTTTTTAAATATTTGATGCTGATGTTGAATAGTATGATGTTATTTATTTATTTATTTATTTAATAAGCTTTATTTGATAGATTCTGGGCATGTTTTGCTGTGATTGACAGTGAGTGTGTCTCTGCTGTAGGTGGTGTGGCGCACCGGAGCGTGTGTGTTAGCGAGTGTGATGGAGAATCTCTTCAGCGCTCGCGTGTGTCGAGAGGGAGTCTCTGACACGGGCCTGTACTGTGATTACCAGCTCCAAAACAAGTAAACACCGTCTGTTCCCTTTCCAGCCCCTGATGTGAGCCAGTAGTCGACAGTACTTTACCTGCTGTTTATTTGAGATGCTTTAAACTAAGAAGTGAAATCTAGCTGAGCTGCAGTGCTGTGTGTGTCGTAGCGCTCTCTCTCTGTTGGACGTGGAGCAGAGGTGTAAGCAGATGGCAGCTGGGAAGATTCCCGTCATCAAGCTCGAGGTCACTGTACAGGACCTGAAAGAGATCTTCCAGGTCAGCGTGTCCTCTAGCTTTTGACCTTTACAGTGTTCTTCAACCCATGGTTTGTTCCTTTTGTAAATTCGTTTTCCTTACACTCCCACATGTAGATAAAGAGTGAAAAAAGATAGTCAGAAACTCACTGTAATCTAGGGTTGCATGATTTGCGACTAAAAATAGAAGTGTGCGAACTGTAAAATGTATTTAGGAGCATGAGTGCGAATAAAGCAAAAGTTTTCTTAAATTTAATGTCATAAAAAGTCTTCAATGCATGATGGTAAAACAAACGTCTAAATGATCATTTTAAGACGTCTTATATTTTGGGGATGGAAAAACATAAATCGCGATATTAAACTTCAAAAGGCAATGATTTCATTAAAAAAAGAGTGCTGCAGTGTCACAAGGCGGCGCTTCAGAGTTCAGACTGCTTCAAAGTGATTCTCAGTCAATGAATAGCGCACATTTATGCCAAGCGATTACTTATGAACTCAAGTTGATGAATTATGATAATGTCTACTTTATGATATTTATATAATAGGTTTTAGACGGTTGTAAGTATGCATATTTTATCTCTCATTTGAAGGATCAGCCTGCAGTAGTATAGATATTTCAAAATAAGACTCCCGGTGTATTTCGGGCTTGTTTATAATTAAGTCACACATCATTTATTAATTTTTTTCTGGCCATTATTGGTATTTTGGTTAAACAATAAATTGTTTATTTTAATTTCCATTGAATTTATAGTAAACAATTGTAGTTTCTGGCTGGGATGCTTCCCCGCAGGAAGAAAAGACTAAGAACATTATTTGACGCGTATTATTCAATATACAGATTTTACTAGTATCTAGGCCTTCTTCTTCTTCCGCTCTGGAAGTCTATAGCAGCCCATAGAACAGCTTGTGGGAAAGTTATGAAATTTGGCACACAGATAGAGGACAGTCTGATCTGTCGCCATAGCAAGTTTGGAGTCTCTAACTCAAACCCTCTAGCACCACCAACAGCTCAAAGTTGCACTTATATTTATGCTAATAACTTTTGAACCGTAAAGTTTCTTGGCTCATGCGGAGTCAAATGGACACCAAAATTTTAAATTCCATGTGTCAAGATTTTTAGCAATTTTTAATAGTTTGAAAAACTTTTTCGAACTTGTCCTAGACGGTTTGTCTGATTTTCACCAAAATTGGCTCAGATCATCTTCAGACAATGCTGGCAAAAAGTTATGGATTTCGTGTTGATAGACAAAACCGTTTTTGTATCGCACCGCAAAAAAATTTGAGGCATGATGCCAGGCTACGTCTGAGGCTGTATCTCAGCAAAGCTTTGACATATTGACACCAAACTGTGCGTGTGCCATTGTCAACTCACAAAGAACACACCACATCGATTTGATGACACCTATTGGTCAAAAGTGATAAGCCATTAAATCATATTACTAGTGGATGTATTTATAATTTTTCAGGCATTTTGACTTAAATGATCTTAAAATGGCTTCAATTACTCATTGCTGCAGTTGGTCTGATGTTTTGCTTCTGTAGTGCTTGGCCCCTTAATTGCTGCTTGCAGCCATATTTATTGTTGTTGTTGTTGTTACTAAATAAATGCAAAAATTACTATTGTAATATTTCACTGTGAAATACAAATAGAGTATTTTAGAAAAATGCAAACTTTTTTTTTTTTTTTTTACATTTTAACTGTAAAATTTCAATACTAATATTTATGGCTGTCTTAAAGGCATAATATGTAATATTTTTAATTAAAATATCCAAAAACCACTAGAACAGTGTTACATATTTTGCTGACTTGTGTACTTACATTATCCCAAATGTTTTGAAGAATGTTTAAATCCAGAGAAATAAGCAATTTTAACTAGTGACACGGAGCGTGTCCATAGTGTCATTGTGTCACCTGCCAATGACGTCATAACCCCTCGAGTTTTGTTTTGTAGAAAACATGGAAACACCAAAGACGCTTTAATATGTTGTGTGTTTTAATAGACCAGTGACGACCGCACACCCCATGATTCCACACTCAGTCACAGCGTCATCAAACTACGCCTTTGTCTCTTTGTTTTTGAATACGCGCCCTCCAGCGGCGAAAATTACATATTGTGCCTTTAATTTCTCCATTTTCTAATATCAAACTGTGAAACATGTATTTTACTCATTTGTATCAATTTGATAAAATGTATCAATTGCTGCCTAAAGCATGAGATAAAACTAAAGCTGATTATATTCATAAGCTGTCCATGGAGGATTCCTAAATGAAGGATGTTTGAAAAACTTCTAGATAAATACACATTTGATTCAAAAGCGTTGTGTTTCATGAGAGTGACGTGTGTGTGTGTGTGTGTGTGTGTGTGTGTGTGTGGGTGTGTGTGTGTGTGTGTGTGTGTAGGGTGGTCTAACGGTTGACATCTTCAGCGCACAAGGAAAAGACCCTGTGGCAAAATGGAAACTATATGGCAGGAAATCTTCAATAACTAAAGTATGTTTAATGACAGATTTTACCATAATGAAAAAAA